GTTTTCTTGGCTACTGCATCTGAGGTGTCCACATGGTCTCAAACTTGTTAGTTGAGAATAACCTTGAAGTCCTGATCCTTTTGCCTCACCCTCCCAAGGGCTGGGATGACAGCAGGCCCAGCTGAGGTGTAGCTTTTGGTATTTTTCCTCTATGTTCATTTTTCCAAATGAGCAAGCAATGAACTAAGACTGCTAGGGATTTACACTGTTACAGTTCAGAGTATCCCAGCCCAGTTCCATGTGATGCAGATGATAGTTGCTAAAGTGAATTTGGAATTATATTACAAGCAGGAAACACTTGGTTTCTGTGCTGCAGGGCTTCTCAGGAGCCTTCCCGGTATGAATTAGCTTTTCTGTTTGCTCGGACAGACTACCTCGAAGTAGCCACAAGGAAGGAGAGGTTTATTTTGTTGTTAAGTTATAGAGAGTATAGTTCACCCTGGTAGGAAAGGTGTGACCACTGTGATGGCTCATCCACATGGTGGGAGCTTGCAGCCTGTCAAGTTCTTGCAGCCCGAGGAGCCTGGGCATTTATCACCTCCAAGGTCCCCACCCATTGACCCTTGCCTCTACCTAGGTATGACCTCCTGACTGAAAGGTTCCACAGCCTCTCCATACACTGTCACCACTGGGGACCAAGTGTTCAAACCCATGAATCTGTGGGGAGACATTTCCTATTTAGAGCATAACACACTAATAAGAGATATAGCCTCCTAAGATGGCTACAGGATACACTCATCTGTTGTTGCCTATGGGGAATTGGGGTCAGGATCCCTGTGGACATTAAAACCCACAGATGCTCAAACCCCTTATTATAATGCAGTGTTTTCATTGTATCTGCACACACCTTCTATATTTTAAATAGTCTCTACTTTCACATGAAAAGCTTTACTGTATTGCACTGCCTAGGGAATAATGGCAAGAAAAATGTACATATTGAATACAAAAGTTGAAGAAACATTTACCATTTGTAATTCTTGGAATTTGTGCATGTAAAATTCATGGATAAGAAAGTGGACTGTACAACTTATAAACTTATAAACTTTGGTGGTCACAGAACACTTTGTTGGAGAGCCTTCTTAGTTATCTGTGGCTAAATTTTTTTAAAAATATATATGGCCTGAAAACAGCAAACAGTTATCTTTCTATGCAGTTTCTGAGAACTAAGCATCTGGGAGCACTTTAGCATTGAGGTTCTAGACTAGAGTCTTGATTCTGAGAGCCACAGACATGACTGGGCCTAGTAACAGTGCTTCTACCACGTGGGCGGGAGCTGTGGGTGCTCTCAATGGGGTAGCCTAAGCATCCCCAGGACACAGCAACTGTCATCCACCATAACAGACAGTCTAAACCAGAGCAGGAGAAAGATGCAACCTTCAGCATTGAAGCCAGAGACTCATCTCTACCAATGAGTCACTAGATTTACCCCAAACCAAAGAAAAAAATTAGGTTACATATCACCCCACAAACTTCTTTTGGTCTTTAGTGTTAGACGAGAATAAGTTAAAATAACAACTTGTATACAGATTTTTAAAACATTATAAAGTTCATGCTTGGATAGAGAGTTATTTATTTATTTATTTATTTCAAGACAGGGTTTCTCAGTGTTGCTTTGGAGCCTATCCTGGCACTCACTTTCTAGACCGGGCTGGCCTAGAACTCACATAGATCAGCCTGCCTCTGCTTTTCAAGAGCTTGGATCAAAGCCGTGTGCCACCACTGCCCCGCTGAAAACCCTTAATAACAGACTTTAGAAAAATATTTGATTTAATTTTGAAACAGCTCAGAATGAGAAATAGGAAAGACATAGTTTCAGATCAAACTCATTTACTCACTTGTATCAACATGGACCTAGTCCCTTAAATTTTTGAGCCTAAATTTTTAAGTAAGTAGAATTAAGACAATAATAATCGATATCTTTGCAATATCTTTAGGTTGTTGTAAAGACAAATGAACCAATGCACATAACATGCTTTCACAGGTACAATTCCCACACAGGAATTACTTCCTGAAATCATTGGCCAACATACAACTTGTCAAATAACTGAACACTACGAATTTCATTTTTCATATTAAAAGAGTTCCTATCTTCCGGGAGAATTCCATATGCATAGATGTGCTTAAAAATGCTTTTGATGAGTCTTATAATAACTCTGTAGAAACTTTAAACTGACATTTGTCTTCTTATGCAACGGCTTCTTTTAGAGATGTAGAACTTTGTCTCTGCAGGGTGCTTAGCTGCTTGATAAATAGTTTCTCTGGTTTTCTGTTTGTTTTGTTGTTGTTGTTGTTGTGGCAGTAAGAATCATCAGTTCCTGGGTCTGCACATTGCTAGGCAAATATTCTACCACTGATCTACAACCCAACCCCACTGTTGTTTTTAAACGACCTTTATGTACATCCATAATTTCTTTAGCCATAAGAAGGCTCTTCTCCTGTGTCCCATAACAGCACCAAGGCTGTCTCAAGAGAGCACTTCAGAAAATGTTTTAAGCAATGGCAGTCCTATCAGAATAAATATAGAGTCTCCTGTGGTGAACACATGGCAGGAAGAAGCAGGTTGGGAATGCATGAGCCTTACTGGAATCTGCTTGCTTAAGATCAGTCTTCTTACTCTGTCATTGTGTCTCCTTACAAAATGGAACACATCCACCAGGCATAACTGCCAGTCAACTGTTTTTGTCCCCCCAAACCTCCCCCACCCCAACAGGGTTTCACCATGTAGCTCCGGCTGTCCTGGAACTCACTTTGTAGACTAGGCTGGCCTCAAACTCACAGAGATCAGCCTGCCTCTGCCTCCCTAGTGCTGGGATTTAAGGTGTGCACTGCCACTGCCTGGCTCTGAATCTCTATATTTTAATGCCTTATTCTGTGCACCTATTGAATATTAAATATGCTCAGTCCTCTTATATATAAAGCTATATGTCTATATTTTATGGGTAAAATAGGACCAGCATTCTTAGCCTACAAAGATCTCTTGGTCAGTACATTAATTAGGGCATCAAGTTTATACCCTGTGTCAACTGTAATTGTTTATTGCTTAACTAAACTGTCCTTAATTTATTATAGTCATTAGTGTAGTTAGTGAGACAGAATGCATTAAGATTTACAGCAGTATGTGGTCAGCAGCTTCCTATTCCAGATCTGAGGCCTGCCTCACTTGATCTCTTCACCTTACACTTGACATTGGACTGCCCCTTCCTTGAAAAGCACTATCCTTCTCTGTCTCATGCCTCATCTTTCAAAGCAATAAAATCAAGCTGTGGGTGAAGTGATCTCAAAGTTACCTCCTGTATCTGAAACTTAGAGTTAACGATTCTCTGGCTTAATTTTCAGACAAAGGCAAAAGCATTTATAGAAATAAGTATCTCAAATTAAACATTTGGAAAACAATTAAAGTGACTGGAGTACTTTCATAATCATCTAAAAATCAGTTTAAGATTCAATGGCTTTACACTAAGTATACAGAATTGCTACAGCCAAAATTTGTTTTAAATTTTCAGAGCATGCATGCAGAAAACTGAAAGTTCCTTGGCCATGGTAGAATTAGTTTTTGTCAGGGCAAGGGAAGAGGGCATGGGAGGGAAAAGGGAGGACATTTTTGCTGTAAGGTTCAGCAATAGATATTTGGGGAAGTCAGGTGGCAGTGCCTTGCAACCTAGACATTCTTGAGGATGCAGATTATTAAGTGACAGTTCTTAAACCTGGAAAGGCAGATTCCAGTTGTGCTGGTTTCAAAGGTTATCCAACTATGAAGTCCATCAAGAAACAGCTGTGCAAAATTAGCTACAAAAATGTCTATTTCTTCAGAAGAATTCGGTTAGAAGTCAATGTTTATTTCTGGGTACTCATAGCTTCTTAAAGCATTCAATACTGAGAAAGTGCCATGGAGGAGATCTGGAAAGAGTCTTAATCTTCACATTTGAAATTTCTTTCTCTTGTAACCTTTACAAAGACTAAAGCCACACAAACCTGTTGTTCACCCACTCGGAGCCACAAGATGAGGTCTGTTAAGGTGAGGGACCCAGACCCTAAACTCCATTACATCCATCATTGTAAACATGTCTAGAATATTCCCCAGAGAGTTCAAGTGGAGATTGGAAGCTATGTTAAGAAAAATAAATCTACTAAAAGTAAAATATATCTACATAAACCATCATAAAAAATTTCAGAATTAAACAAAACAACAACAACAACAAACAACGAAGGTCTGGGCATATGCTTAACACGATTCTATTTATATATAAACAAAATAGGCTAATGCTGAAGCTCTCTCTGGTGTACATATATTTGATGTACATAAAATTCTTACCCATGACCACCTTTGGAGGGCATTCGGAGTATAAAGTGCCATTTGATTTGTGCACAGCAAATATAATATTCACAAACTCTGTGTAGGCGTCCTTATGAATAGTTAAGTGCACATCTCCCTGTTACCTCCGTTTCAAGCACCCCCATTCTCACACCATCACTTGCTATCTTTCTAAGTCAGATCTGCACTTTAACTCCTGCTATTTTGGACCTACCAAGAACTACATTCAAGTCTCCCATCATCTCGGTGTCCCTTCATATCCTCACTTCTATCTTTACTCAGCCTAGATTGCCTGGGCCTTTTGCACACACCCTTAGTGCCCTGTACCTCTTCTGCACCATCCCAACTTCTCAGTTCTATTTGAGAATCTTGAATCTTGAATCCTGCTCGCCTGTTCTGTTGTACAGAAATGTAGCCCAATCCTGGAGAAACTAGGCAGCTCTCCAAGTGCCCTGAAGTACTTTGGGGGGGGGGTATGAGACTCTCCCAAGACCATATTTCAATCCCCCATATTTCTAGGGGTCTGCTTCAAACACTTTCGTTTCTCTTCGAGCCTCCTGCACAATTATCCCTGGACAATGTCTGGCTTTACTACTTCACTGAGGAAATACAAACAAGCAGTAGAAACCCCATGTCACTTTATACTACACCACAGCTCCCATTCCCAAGTCTGCTTACTTACCTAGCCATGTCCCATCCTCTGCCCTCCAGAACCTGGATGATCTATCAGGCCCTCCATCTCCAATGGCTCTCACTTTCCAACACTAACCCATTCTTTTCCCTCCTGCTTGACAATTCGTGGGTAGGGCAAAGGTGTCCATGATAAGTTTTGTGATGGCTGGGAAAGTAAAATAAGTAGATGAAATATGCATATGAATAAAGAAAATGTTTTAACATACAATGTTAACATATGCATTTCTATACATCACAGTGATGAAATTCACTCAAAAAACTTTTAATTTAGTGGAGGAAGAGGCAGGACGTGGCCCACAGTAAGTCAATCACTGAGGTCTCTTTGCTCCCCTAGCTTCACTCTCTTTCTGTCCTCTGGTCATCCCTACTCAATACAAATGACTGTACTGTCCCCCATCTAACCTAACCCAGTTTTCACTTGCTTTTCCTTCCAACCACCCACTCCCCATCACTTTCCTGCCTTGGTTTTTAAACAGCAAAACTACTTGAGATATTTGCATATATTTTCAGTCACCAACCACTATTTTCCTCTTTCCCACTTCCTCAGGCTTTCATGCTGCTGTCTCCGTCGCAGTTGCACTGAAACTGCTCAGTACCCAGTGGCTTCTGTGACACCAATTCCGAGGGCCAGAGCTCATCCTCATTCAGATGTGCTGGGATTACAGGCTTGTTCCAGCACATTCAGCTCTCAATAATTAGCCTTGATTGACAACTTGATAAGATTGGGAAGTGCCTAGATTAGTATAGTATACCTGTGTGTGTGTGTGTGTGTTTGAGGATGTTTTCACACAGGGTTCACTAGGAGGAAAATTACACTTTTGTGTGGGTGGTACCATCCCACAGAGGGAGCCTTCTACAGTAGGCATCTCCTCTACTTCGGGCCCCCATGGTGTGAGTTGTGAGTTGTTCTCCTTTCAGCCCTTCCCCAACACAGTGGACTCAAACTCCTGAAACTGAGAGCCAAAATCAGCTTATTACTTTCTTAAGACGGTATGTTGGTTCTTTTGTCAGTGATGAAAGTAGACGGACAAACTACAGACAGACCCCAATAGTCCCTGTGCTTTGAGGGTATCACACAGCCACAGTATTTCATCTGCCTCATTGCCTGCTACTTACCATTCTCCTTTTTTGACACACCCTTCGCCACAGTCCCAAATCCTGATCTGCCCTTGCTTAGTCCTCAGACCTCTACGTGTTCTAATTTTAGTCCTCTATCCACTCCCCATGTTTTGGCATGTAATTTTCTCCAGCATTATTTTTTAATTTGAATCGGCATGTCCTATTTGTACATATTTGTGGAGTTCACTTTGACAGTTCATGAACTGGTGTGCAATGTATCAGATCAAGTCAGAGAAATTAGTATTTCCATTTGTGTATATTGGGATCCTCTTTATTCTAAAACATCGTTCCGCCTGATGCTCTTGTCCTTCTTCCCCTCCATCTTCCCGTGGGGTCAGTTTCCATGTGCTGCAGGCTGGTGTGCTGTACTGCTCAGTGAAACATCAAACTGCTTCTCCTTAGGTTGTAAGACACTCTTCACCATCCCTCTCTGTGCCTTTCATAGCCTACTACATCCTAGCCTCACTCTGGGACCCTCAGACCTTCCTCTGATCCCATTTCTAGAATGGGATCTAACACCTAACCCTTCTGAATTGTGCCCCCACACCTGGATTGGTGAGGACCATTGTTACATTGGCTGCTATGCATCTTTTTTGGTTTTGGTTTTTCCAGACCCGGTTTCTCTATGTAGCTCTAGCTGTCCTGAAACTCATTCTGTAGGCCAGGGTGGCCTTGAACACAGAGAGCAATCTGCCTCTGTCTCCCAAGTATGGAGCTTAAAGGTGTGTAATGCCACCACCACTCGACTGTTCTGCACTTTGATAGCAACTTTGCAGTCTTTTACAGGGCTTTAGATAACCCTCAAATACATATTCAGTTTAGACTTTCCCCAGAACACCAGACTTGTGTTTCCAATGGCCTATTCTGTATTTTTACTTGATGTAACAGGGTGTTCTGAACTGAAAGTGCTGATTTTCCCCTGCAAGCTATCTTCGCCGACTCAGATAGTGGCAACGCTGATCTTGTGGTTGCTCAGATCCGGAACCTTAGTGACTTAATTTGCCTCTGTTTAAACTCCTCTCATTCTTCCAGAGGCCGCATCCCAGCTATCAGCAAATACTGTTTGCACTGCTTTCAGGACTCATGCGTCACTTCTCTCCACACGGCCACCATATGCACGCCACCTCTCACCTTGATCGCTGCAGTGTGTCCTGTCTCTCCGCATCCACCCTGTCCCTTTTCCCTTCCTGTCTATCATAGCATACAGAGCCATAGAGATAAAACACAAGCCGGCTCAGCCACGTCTGCCTATAACTCTTCTATCTCGCTCTGAACAAAGGCCAAGCTCTTACAGTGGCCTCCAGGTGCAAGGCGCCTGCCTGCCTTGCTGTCCACCCAGCACCTCTGACCCCATCTCCTGCTGCTCTCCTACTCCTGTGTTTCTCAGCCACCTGGTCTCCCTGCTCTTTCTGTGTTTATTAAGCACACACTATCCTCACAAGCTGTCCCTCTCACCGGATCTGTTCTTGCTCCATGAAGCCCACAGCTGGCTCCTTCCCTGCTTCAGGTCATTGGTTAAAGGTTACCCACTTAGGGAGCCTTCTTTAACAAGCCAGAAGCTCCACCGGGTTGCCTTTCCCTGTGTTATTTTTGTCCACAGCACTTATAACCACCTGACTCACTGCAGACCACTTCTCTGCTGCTTGTCAGTTTTATTCACTGCTCACTGTAGACCCTACAACAGTGCCTATCATGCCGTGGGTGTTCAAACAAATCTATCATTACAAAAGAAGGCAACTGTCACCTACTAATAGTTAACCGTTTGAAAAATTAGTAGTATTACATTTATTGTCTATTAATTCATATACTCTAGTAGCCGATTAATCAGCAGCCTGGGCAAGAACTTCCACGGAGAATAAGTAAAACCTGAAGTTTGCATTTTCTTCAGAGGGATATGTTGCAAAATTTATGACCATCAGATTCACACACCCGTGGTTAAAGTTTAGAGCCCTAGCCCTGAGGCTAGGGACACAGTGTTCCAAGCCAGTCACTCAGCAAGCCCGTTTGTTTTCCCCCAGTCTCTGGCCACACTGCCGAGTTCTACAGAAGAAAGCAGTGGCCACAGAACTCTTGCCGGCAAACTCGGTTCTTCCTAATAGTGCTGAGGAGGGAACAAGGACAAAGGCAAGCAATGGGACCCTCTATTCTTCAATGCAGATTGGAAGGAAAAGAAAGCTACGAGTGAGCTGGCGTCCTGGTGATGCTGTGAGGCCTTGTCTGCTCATCAGCCTTTCTCCTGTGTGACTTCTACCAATGCACCTCATGAATGCCTCTAATTGGCACAGTGTATCACAAAACCTCTTCATTTGTCTTCTGTAACACTCTCATGTAGACATGTACCAATCTTTTCTTCTTAAGAACAGTTTAATTTACCAAGTTAATCAGGGAAATACAGTCATAAAACTGAAGAGGCATTAATAATTCTAGTGGGCGTATTCTAGTGGTCTTGAAAATTAGGCACTGGAGGAATCTCCCCCCCCCATGCCCACACAGACACTCGTCCCATGAACCCCTGTGCACCTCTGCAACCCTGTAACTGAACAGTACTCACATCTCAGCCTTGCCAGGGAATCTCCAGGGAACACCATTCTCATTTGCAGAGATGAGGGCAGCCAGCCTTGTCCTCCACACCGCAGAGGGCTCCAGAATATCCTCCAGCTTGTTGTTTCTTTACCTTCGAAAAAGGCGCTCAATTCAGTAACTCACTCAGTATGATTATGACTTCATAGGCTTTTTTTCTTTAATTTTCTTTTCTTTTCCTTTCTTTCTTTCTTTCTTTCTTTTCTTTTCTTTTTTTTTTTTTTTTTTTGAGTCAGGATCTCTACATAGCCCTGGCTGGCCTGAAACTTACTATGTAGACCAGGCTGGCCTCGAACTCACAGACATTCTCCTGCCTCTGCCTCTCAAGTGCTGAGATTAAATGCACGATCAATCATGTCGGGTCTTGACTTCATAGGTTTTACAAGTAAGTATAGAACTTCATTTTATGTGCAATTCTTATGTAATTATTTAGCTGCAATGCCAACAAAAACTTAGTTTTAAAAATACTTTTTATTTTACAGAATTCTCCCTCTGTTTGCCGAAATAGATAGGATAAAAGAGGGTATGTATTACGAAAGGGTGCCATCTTAGTCACTAATCGTCACACTTACATGGGAAGGTAGAAGTGAGAAACGAGACAGACACGTCTTATTTAAGAGAACTTATGTGGAAGGAATGGGAGCCGTTTTGAGTCATGAGGCACACTGTTGACTGATTCATATCTATGTCTATGCATAAATACATTTTCCTCTCTCTCCCAGTTTTTGTGGCACTAGCTACAATTATGAGCTCATGGGATCTTTGTTTAGGAAAAAAAAAATGGTTCCGTAATCAGATGTGAAGATGTAAGAAAACATATTGTTTCTCAGTTGTCTTACCTGCCTTGCATATAAATTCATACATGTTTGGATAAATGGCTGTAGAACTTACATTTTTATTTACTCTTTTCCCCACCGAGACAGGGCTTCTCTGTGTAACCCTGGCTGTTTCAGAACTCACTCTGTAGGCCAGAATGGTCTCAAACTTGGAGATTGGCTTGCTCTGCCTCCCAAATATTGGGATTAGAGGCGTGCTCCACCACCACATGGCCAACTTACAATTTTTTTTTTTTTTTTGTGGCACATATTTTCGGTATGTAGCCACGATGCTAGATCTATACAGTAAAATAACCACTGCAGCAAAGCAGATGAATAGTAGTCACCAGCCCACACAGATGGGAGAGCGTGTGTCCATTAAAAAATCTATCATCTATTCTCCTTCTATAATATATTATTATTGATTATAATTATTAGCTTTGGTTGCAATTTATGTCTCTGGATTTGCCTAGCCTATGTAACTGCATCTTCCTAGCCTTTTGCCCACATCTCCCCACTTCCCTCAGAAAGGCTGTCATAAATGTTATTAATGAATCTAGGAAAATAAATTTGTAAGGTGAGTGCATAGTAATGGGAATATGGAAAACAGGAGCATAGCTGGCAATCCGGCTTGTGGCTTGCAGCTGCCCTTTATCCTTTAGGAGCAGAGGGGACCTGGCAGCTAGAGTGGGATTGGACCTCATCTAACTCATCAAGGACAATGCAAGACAAGATGGGAAGATATGTGAGAAAATGATTCCTTGATGTCTCATTCAGAAAAGCCCATTTTTCAGAATAGGATCAACTTAGGTATTTATTACGTTTCAAGGGATATTTATCTTAATTAAAAATTGTGTAAACCTACATCAGAAACATATTAAAAAGGCGGCTCAGTTTCAAGCTCAGTGCTTGGTTTGATGTACACGATACCCTCACCAGTGGTAGAGCAATAGAAGCGTCCCCTAACCCCCACCCACAGAGAAATTGACCAAATGAGGAAAAAAGCAATGGCCGGCACACAGGGACAAATCTGGATTTGAATCTGGATATCTAGCTCCAGATATCTCCAAAATATTGTGTTATATCTTCTACTTTCAGCTGATGCAACACCAACAATGATCAGTTTATTTAAAGGCCTAAACTACTCAGAAGATTGCCATTTTTTTATTGTGTTGAAAATTGAACAGGGTTTCAGAAAGAAACATTGAGCTCATTTAAAAAAAATCCAAGACTCTGATTCTAAAAGAATGAGACTTTATAATCCTTCTTTTTCTTTTTTAAAAAAATTGATTATTTGAGAATTTTACATAATGTACCCTGATCACCCTTACTTCCCAGTCCTCCCAGATCTGCCCCTCCACCCTTATGGCCTTCTCCCCTAGAAAATGATTGAAAAAAAGCCCAGTTTGTATGTCCATAGTCACTAAAGCATGGTCAAACTCCCAGTAGCCAGCCCCTTAAAGAAAAAGTGAGACCTTCCCCACCTCCACCACCATTAGCTCTCTATTGTGGAGAGCTACAAACATATCAGCATCCTGATCACAATTTATAAGAGTTCTCTTCAATTGCTTCCTGTCTTCATTGTTACCTTTTTTCTTGATAACTCTTTTTTTCTCTCTCTCTTTCTTTTTCTTTCTGTTTTTGTTTTTATGAGACAGGGTTTCTCTGTGTAACAGTCCTGGCTGTCCTTTAACTTGCTTTGTAGACCTGGCTGGCCTTGAACTCACTGAGATCTGCCTGCCTCTCCCTCCTAAGTGCTGGGATTAAAGGCGACACCACCGCTCAGCAATAACTCTTGTTTTTCAATCTGTGATTCTTGAGCCAAGAGTTCCCCAAATGCTTTTGTTGGGGAAAATACTCTCTCTTCTGAAATAGACTTCATTCATTTTCACAAGACTTTTCTTAGGCCTAGGGAGTCTAAAGCTCTCAATTCTCCCCCCTTGTGGTGTGCAGAGAACGTGATGTGTAAGGAAATGCTATTCTTACCAGCTCTCAAGCTTTACTCTGAACTCACCCATGTCATGTGCACATTGCTGTGTGTCTAAATTAGCACATGTGATGCACACAACATTGTTACACTGAAGGCTAAGCAACCGCTCCAGAGATAGAGACCTTGCTGATATGACTGAGAAGGCCCCCAGGGGTGCTATTAGATACTTGATTTATAAATATAAGCATACATGTACTCCGTGGGAATATACACATTCTTTATTTAAGAACTAACCTGACATGGAAAATGTACCCATGCTTAAACCACTACTTGCCTGGTTGTGGTCCACTCTCACTATCTTTGATGGTGGATTATCTTTGTTGTTACCAATAAAAACTTGGAGTCAGCTATCAGGAAGTGAAAGCTGAAGGATCAGAGAAGCAGAGCAGCTAGCCACTAGAGTTCTTACCTCTACCAGGGCTTAGACCAAAGGGGCCATCCTGTCCTCAGACTGCAGCTACCTCTACAAATCCTTAGACTGTTTTGAGCTCCTTTCTCCTCCCACCTTATGCTCCTCTCTCTGCCCAGCCATATCATTCTTGTCTCCACCTCCCTAATGCTGGGAGCTCTTTGTGTGAGCTCTGTTTCTTTTTCCAGACAGATTCAATCTCGTGTAGCCCAGGGTGGTCTTGAACTAACAGAGATCAGTCTGCCTCTGTCTCTCGAGTGCTGGGATTAAAGGTGTGGGCCACCACTGCCCGGCCTCTATGGCTAACTTGTGGCTTAGCTCTGCACTCTGATCTTCAGGCAAGCTTGATTTGTTATAGCATAAACAAAATATGACCACAGGAAACCCATTTGCCCACTCCCAAACTTCTGGAAGCTGAAAATTCTGTGGCAATCTTAATTGAAGATGTTGGCTAAAACAGAGCTGTGTCAGTCTGGGAGTCCATTCCTAACTCAACCTCACAGGTAATACAGACGGAATCCTTCAAAAATTATTTACTTATTTCCTTAGTGTCGAGTAATTGGATGATTCTGGGGCATTATCTGCTCTGGTGCTTCATGAGTTACTTCCATTCCTTGAGAACTTCTAAGTCACCAGTAGGGAAAAATTTGTGGACAACTTCATTAAGTAAAACGCCCAAAATGTACAAGTCACTTTGTAATTTATCAAAAGCATCAGAATGAACGGAGAACCAAGACATGTAGATGGGTGGGTATGACAGACAGAGTGAAGAAAGCTGGTAGGAGGAGCTCACCAAACAGAAGCTGGGCCAGGAGAAGCTAGAAAGGGAAGTTCCTGGAACCATGGGTGTTTAAACTCAGGTCATTTTACAACTCACAAATACACACACACACACACACACACACACACACACACACATACACACACACACACACACGTGAAGAGTCGGGTGTGAGGATAGAGTGCTTGAGGCTAGGATTACAGGGTGTCCTTTTGAAAAACCAGGAAACAGGACATATTTATGGTTATGGAATATTTCAGTCTTATTTTCAAATAATAGTCTCAGTATGTTTTTCGTTAAACTTCAGAAAACTTTTCAGGTAAAGTGCCTACAGTTCAAAGTCTTGGAATAACATGAAAAATGTAACGAGTACACAGTTTCCCTCAGTTTCCAAAACTTGTATGAGGACATTCTGTAGCAAGTCTAAGTGGTCTGTTGCTTTAAACTTGCTAAGTGCATTATTTGAAGTTATAAACAACATTTGATAATAAGTTTAACCTTTTCCTAACTTTTCAGGTACACTAAACCAAAAAAAATCTATGTTCCCAGGGAAGGCTGGAATAATAGAAAGAAGAAAAGGGGGTGGTTTCAGAAGGGGCAGTAATGGCATACTCAGAGCTATGAATAGAGGCTGTATGATAAACAGAAGTGTTCCTCTCATAAATGAAATCAAATCACTCTGAGGGATGCAGGCCAGGTTCAGAAAAGAATTCATGAGTGTACCTAGCAGGCACCAACCAACACCAGGCAGAGGATAGTCATGCAGGGAACATGGAATAGGGGCAGATCTGTTTCGTGTTCCTAGAATTTCAGTTAGAGAGTACTGAGGGGTGAGAGATGTTTCATGAATATTTTCTTTTTCATTGTATGAAGCAGAGTCAGTCAGTCCTGTAGAGTTGGTGAAGAATCAGCAGATAGTTTTATTTATTTATTTATTTATTTATTTATTTATTTATTTATTTCATTTGTTTGTGTTTTGCTTTTCTGACAGGTTTACTCAGTGTCGTCCTGGCAGTCCTGGAACTCATCCTGTAACGGCTGACCTTGAATTTAGAGATCTGCCTGCCTCTGACTCCCAAATGCTGAGATAAAAGATCATGAACCACCACCACCACCACCACAGCCTGGGCCTGAAAATGGATTTAAAAAACAAACAAACAAACAAACAACAACAACAACAAAAAAAGTGATGTGGTAGTTGTTGAGAAAAAGCAGAATTCCTCCTGGTTTTTGCAGTCAACAACTTTATATCCAGGGAAAGTTAGAGAAAAACTAAGGAGAAGTCTTTGTTTAATAATTGATGCTCAGTGCCAAAGAGGGGCCAAAGCTTGTCGAGTTTTTATTTTACATGTGAGTGCTTTGCTTGCCTGTATTATGTACATCATGTGTGTGCCCAGTATCCATGCGTGGGGGGGGGTCTCATGGAACTTGAATTACAGATGGTAGTTAACCACCACGTGGGTGCCAGGAACCAACCCAGGTCCTTTGCAAGAGCAACAAGTGTTTTTAACCATGGAGTTCTCTCTTCAACTTATTTTGATGCTGTCACCCTTCCAACCTTCAAAACAAAAGTACAAAAATTCATCAAATCCCTCCCGTTTCTTTCTTATTTTTCCCACTTAATTATCGCTAGCATGATGGCCAGGAAGGCACATTTTGGCGAGCAGTATCCATTTTGCCATTAATGGCATGAAAACTAAAGTTCAGTGTCATTTGAAGTCTTACTTAAAGGAATAGTTCTAGTAATTTCTCCCACAAATTCTCTTCCCCCCTTTTTAATATTAGAATTACTGGTTGGCATTAGCAGAAAAGAGAGAATTGAGTTCTGCTGCGTTTTCTGTCTCCCTCTGGGAGAGAGACTTGGTAATAGTCAAATATCCAGAAGGCAAGCAATTAGCAGAGAAAAGGGAGGACAATCAAGTCTCGACTGTACATTTATTGTAATTGCTGAATTATTCACATTCTTACTTCTGGGCTGAGGCAGTGTGGTTTGAATGTGGTAGAAAGGATATTGGGCAGGAAGCACAAGTCTCTCTAGACCCCGTTCTGCAATTCACTGTGTGTCGGCAAACAGTTCTCTTCTTGGGGGTCTCCTTTATTATCAATATAAACTTCGTGGAGATGCAAATGTTTGTTCACCTTTTGGGGTATGGGATAATTCAGCTCACAGATACAATAGATGCATCGAGGCAACAGGCACTTGCAGCAAATGGCACCATGTCAGAGAATGAAAGTTGCGAACTTTCACGTTCTTCTGGCTACTTTGAAATAAAGAATTATATTTCTGAGCCACGGAAAGCTAGAAGTAATTCTTTCTACTTGTGTTTTAGTCACTATTACACTTCTTCCCATACCCTTCTTATTGGCCTTTCTCTACCTCTGGTGACATTATTCCACTGTGTTCCAAGATATTAGCTTTTTATTTCCACAATTCTGTGTCTGGCTAAGTTCATTGAACGATGTTCAGTTCCACCTACGCTGCTGCAAATGGCAAAATTCCACTCTTTTTTAAGGGCTCAATAATGTTTTACTATACATTTCCTTCTAATGGACACCTTGGTCAATTCCGTATTATGAGAGTGCAAGTATCTATCTGATACTGTAATTCCCTTTAGTTATAATACGTTGGGGTTGTTTTTCTGATCCGGAAAACGAGGAAATGTTACATCAATGCTTCTCAAGTTTTGGTGTACATCACCTCTACCTGAGATGGTTTCAGTACATATGTTTGTAAATCTGGCCCTGAGATGAGTGGGTAAGCCTGAGGACTCTTTGGCAGATTGTTTGGTTTAATCCCTGTTGTGGCATTAGCTACGAACGCTAACATGAGTTATCAACTCTCCCATATCTCATAAAATCAACATCTCAATCTTATATAAAAAATCAATATCTACTTCATATTGAATCAGGAAGGGTAAAATGAATCAAGGCTTTCAAAATACCGAGTGCTCTGACGGCCATATATTGAACCATAAGCAGATGGTTCACAGTATACAGTGGTGTGTATGATACAAGGTAGATTCCCCATCAGTGTCTGCTAAATAATGACTTTTTCAAAGAGCAAAGTTGTCTTTGTTTTCGTAAGACTCAAATTCTCTATTATCCCGGGAATTACTGACCCAAGAAAGCTAGTACTTTATTTGAGAGAACTGCTTCAATTTCACGCTCGGTCTCTGTCTCTCTATCGTATGAATATCGTGAGGCTGACAACAATTAAAAATAATAATAATTGAACGATAGCACTCTCGTTAGAGTGAGTGAGCCGAGACGAAGGGACCGAGTCTCCTTAGCTCGATCCTGCGGCGTGGTGATGGCTCTCATCTAGGTGCACGTATCCCCTGAAAGTCACTCGGTACTATTGATTTTGAAACACAAAAAAGCAGAATAACATTTTCCGTGTTGTTGGTCAGGCTGAAAACAGAGCACGTAACTTTTAGGAAGCTCGCGAATCAGGGCTATCACCAATGAACTTCCGTCCCCATTGGCTTCCAGCGGTGGTGGGGGTCCCTTGCCAAGCACTCGGCTTGTGCTTCTCGGGGTTTTCAGTGAGAGAAGCCCAAGGGTAGCGTCGGCGAGAAAGCTGCCTGGGAACCTCGGAGGTGGCCTCCTAGAAAGATCGCGGCGAGGGGAGGAGCCCTGATTGTCCTGGA